GGGAGGGAGGGGAGGGAGGGGAGGGAGGGAGGGAGGGAGGGAAGGGAGGGAGGGAGAGAGGGAGGAAGGGAAGAGAGTACATAAATGGTGGAAAGGGATCCCACAGTTCTAAAACCCTTTCTGTTATCCCTCTTCCAGTATATCTTCCAAACTCAAGGATCTCTCTAGCATCCAAGAAATTCCATCACATAAAGTAACTTCCTGTCCTATTAAGAAATGCCCAAGACAACATTATAGAAATTATTAAATCAATCTTAATAGAGACAGTCTAAATTTAAGTTGGTATAATAAATACAATCATAAGCATTGCACATTTTATGAGATATAATTACTGTACATGTGAAACTTATTTTGAAATTCTGGAATGGATATTTTTAAATGCTTAATAGCAGGAAGATCTGGAGGGTTTGTATACTATAATTATACACAGTTGTGTGAAACAAAGGAATGAGTCCAATAACATTTTAATGAAGAGCCCATTTAATATAGGCTTTGGTTGTTTTATTTTTCTTCCTTCCTATCCAACATTTTCCATCAGCATTTCAACTTCTCATCTCTTTTGAAGCCAGGCATCTTTTTAAAATAATATCTCAAGCATTCAAAGTATCCCACCTCAGAAGCTGTAAAATCTCTGAATAGAGGATGACCAGGGAAATATCATCTTCAGTACTTACACAGTAATGAGTAATCCTAGGTTAAAGTCCTAATTCTCAGATGACTGAGAATCTGAAGTTAAGCACCACACACTGAAGAAATCTTTAAAGATTCATTCCTAAGGGCTAATCAAAGTTTTAAAATGTCCCATGATGCATAACAAACCATCTACAGCCTTTGTAGTGTGCTATCCATTAGGGTGCTTTACATCTTACTTTACCCGAAGTGCTTCCCAGGATTCAGGACTTTTAGTGTTGATACCAAGAAAGTTCTCAGCAAACCAGGTGAGTTGATCACGCTAATACCAAATAGTCAGAAAATGAATAACATAACTCTGGCTCACTAAGGGCTTACATTCTAATGGTAAAACAGAAGCCTATATAGCTCAAGCTATAATAGAAGCTTGAGCATTCAATGAGAGGAGCCTAGAGGATTGAAACAACAAGTTCTGACTTTAAAAGATTTTGTAAAGAAAGTAGAATTTTTGGCCATTGTCTAAAATTGGCATAGATTGAAAGAATAAGTGAGACATGAAAGGATTTTGTTTGGAGATGACATATCATCTCAGAGATTGCTGGAGCCTACACTTGGGTAGAGAGAACAGAGAATGGAATGAGAGAGTAAAGAGGTTGACCAGTTAAGGGCTTTGCTGCTAAGTCTCTAAGTAAAAGTCACTATGGGGAGGCTTTCAGAAAGCGCAATTAATTACATGTTCCTTGTGTGCTGCAGATGATACCCCCTCTCTGAATGGTCATCACCCTGCAAAGGGAAAAAAATTTTCCCACTGGATGGCCATACCATAGGGTGATTGAACACTTCTACTACATCTGGCTGTGTGGCCAAAGGCAGTTTGACCTCTAAGCATTAATTTCTCATCTAGCCAATGGGAGAGTACCTGTTCTTTAGGATTATTGTGCACATGGCATTTGTTCAATAATTGGCGAATGCAATTATTATGCTGATTTCCTGAGGCATGCTTAAAAATAAAGTGTCCAATTCCTTGTAGCTGGTAAATAAAGAGCCTAAGTTGTGACATCAAATCACTCTAAATAGCATTCCAAAGGTGGTAATTATTTTCTTTTTTATTTGTTTTTACTTTTTAACTCCTCCTGCTTCGCAAAGTGAGGGAGCTAATCTGCTGTATATCTTAGGAAGATGATTTTGTTGGTATTCTAAGAGATGCATTGAGGGGATGGGACTTAAAACAGAGAAAAAATAGAGGAAGCCAATTTAAAAAGTTTAAACTGGAACTTTGAATGGTAGAGACAGGAAGGTGGGGAATATGATTAGATTCATTTGAGAGGTAGACTTAACAGAATTTAGTATCTTGATTTATGAGGCATAAGAGAAAGCAGATAATAATTCCTGGGAATTCTAAGTTAAGGATTTGCCAGTAAGATAAATGGATTTTATTTTTGGATCTTATCAAGGAGACCAGGAAGATGACTGTAAATTAGAGGAAATTACAGAAGTACATAAATCACCCTTAATCTGGGGCATCCTTAAAAATAGAGTGTCCAAGTCCTTGTAGCTGGAGAGGCAAACAGCAGAGAAAACAGAAAACACAGGCCCCACCACTGTTATTGAAGGGTTACTGATGCCACACGTCAGCAAAATTAGTGTCTGAGGGTTGAGGATGTTAGGTAATGGATGTGAAAGAGCTTAGGATGCCATTGCTACAACATTTCTGAGTGGGATAGAAATCGGGACCAAGGTGAACATAATGCTTTGTGCTCAGGCAACTGTCTGGCAAGATATCAATCAACCACCAGGGGGCAATATTGATCCCAGTGACCTGTTTTCCAAAATATTACTCCTTTCCCAACCGTTTTAAGAGATTTAAGACTGTCCCATAACATTTATTTTCAGCATGGAGACTGAAATCCACACGTATCCATTGTCCTAGTTTTATGGTTTTTTTTTTTTCCAGAAAGATAAATTTATATTGCCTTTTTTAAATTTTAATTTCTATTTTTTTTAATTTATTTATTTTACTTTAGGTGCATACTGTATCTGGCATTTCTCCCCATTTTATCCCTCCTCATCCTCCCCTCCCTCCCCCCCTCCCCGCTGCCTCTCACCTACACCCCCCCCCAACTGCCCCCAGTGTGTGATGCTCCTCTTCCTGAGTCCACATGTTCTCATTGTTCAACACCCACCTATGAGTGAGAATGTTTGGCTTTCTGTTCTTGTGTCAGTTTGCTGAGAATGATGGTTTCCAGATTCATTCAAGTCCCTACAAAGGACACAAACTCATCATTTTTTATGCCTGTGTAGTATTCCATGGTGTATATGTGCCACATTTTCCCTGTCCAGTCTATCATTGATGGGCATTTGGGTTGGTTTCAGGTCTTTGCTATTGTACACAGGGCTGCAATGAACATACGTGTGCATGTGTTGTTTATTTTTTTAACTGAAAAGAAGCACCTGTGTTTAAAAAAACGAGAGAGAAGATTTTTACTAAAATGTATTTTGTGTTCACTACAAGTTAGTAATTTTATAATCACTTTCATGTATTAAATTTAATCAATTTTTAAAGCAACCCTATGGAGTGGTACTAATATTGCTGGCTTTTTAGAAACAAGAAAACAGATTGAGTGAGTAAAGACTATACTTCAGAATTCATGTCACAGAGCCAAGGTAGCCACTCGTAACTTTCATGCATATCTTTCTAAACTTTTTCCTTGTGAGAAATGTTTATATGTAAACACAAATATAAATATACATAATTGGGCTTATTGTTTGTTTTGGAACAGTGAGATCATATAGGTATGGTCTACAATTTGTCCTTTTAAAAGGTCTGTGTGGGAGAACTAGGGGAAGGACAGTGGGGTTTGGGGAGTTGGGGAGGGATAACATGGGGAGGAGAAGTGCCAGATATAGGTGATGGTGAGGAAGGCAGCAAACCACATTGCTATGTATGTACCTCTGCAACAGTCCTGCATGTTCTTCACATGTACCCCCAAACCTAAAATGCAATAAGATATTTTTTAAATGCAATTATCATTTTTTACATAAATACAGATATATTTTATTTAATATATTTTCAACTTATTATTTACTTAATTTTATTAATTTATTTGTTTGTTTTTCTGAGACAGAGTCTCACTCTGTCACCCAGGCTGGAGTGCAGTGGTACAGTTTTGGCTCACTGCAACCTCCACCTCCTGAGTTTCAGCAATTCTCCTGCCTCAGCCTCTGGAGTATCTGGGATTACAGGCACCCACCACCATGCCTGGCTAATTTTCGTATTTTTAGTAGAGACTGGGTTTTGCCATGTTGGCCAGGCTGGTCTCGAGCTCCTGACCTCAAGTGATCCTCCTGCCTCAGCCTCCCAAGGTGCTGGGATTATAGGGGTGAGCCACCGTACTCAGCCTATATATACACATATATACATACATGTATATACATATATTTGTATGTAGTATAAAGTTCAGGGGTATATGGGCAGGATGTGCAGGTTTGTTACCTAAGTAAATATGTGCCTTGGTGGTTTGCTGCACTGATCATCCTATCACCTAGGTATTAAGCCCATCATCCATTAGTTATTCTTCCTGATGTTTTCCCTCCCCAACCCCCATAGTTAATTATTATCTATAAATAACGATGTTTGAAATGAACATGTAAAATGGCTTACTTAAGAGCACACAGTCATACAGTGGCAGAATTAGTACTGGAATCCAAGCCTTTTGTCACACTAATTATGTAACAAATATTTGTGGATGAATGAGCTGACTATACTTTATGTTCATCACTGCTACTGCCAATGTATATAGAAAATTAATTTCACCCCAGGATAAATGTAAATACCGAAATCTAGAAAGAAAGAAGATATCACCTCCAGCTAGAGACATTTTAAAAGCTTCATGAAAAGTATGATACTTGAATATGGCCTTAAAAGATGGGGAGGATTTCAACTTTTAACAACTGGTGAGGAAGAGAAACTTTATACATCTAGAGAAGAGTAGGAACCAAGACATTAATGTAGAAAAGGACAAGTAAGTTTGAGGAATTTTTAATCTAAACAGTTGGGTTGGACCACGATTGCAGAGAATCTTAAATACTGAAGAGGTTTCTTAAAATTCCAGAGCCACCAAGGGCTTGGGGAATGCAAAGTGATCAGCATTCTTGTTTTAAAATATGCTATTACGGCAATGCTGACTTCTAAGTAATTTTTCAGTATTTTGTTTTGCTACAAGGAAAAACAAGTGTGACAGCAAAATTGTCTGCTTTTTCAAATTATTTTAATTTTCACTTCCTCTATTTAAAAATGGGAAGCTTCAGAGAAGGAAGAAATGTTACCAAAAATGTCAAATTTCAAGAGATAGAGAAGAATGTTTATTGGGTTATTCTAAATTCAGCTGACTAGCAAATCACGCAATATGGCAGGGTTGCCCCATGTAAGCATTTGTGGCTAGTGTTTGATTGAAGAAATCTACAGTATAACAAAAAATATTTACCAATGTAATCAAGGAAAACTTTCATTTGAAAATCCATACATTGAAAAATTGTGAAATACATTTGATGTACTTTTATAAATTATTTAATTCCTCAATGAAACTCCTAAATGAAAGTGTCTTTCACACACACACCCCAATCCTTTCCATGAACAATGACCACTGAATTTTTTTTTTAATTGAGACAGGGTCTCATTCTGTCACCCAGGCTGTAGTGCAGTGGCATGATCATGGCTCACTGCAACCTCAGCCTCCTGAGTAGCTGGAACTACAAGCACACACCACCACACCCAACTAATTTCTGTATTTTTTACAGAGAGGATATTTTGTCATGTTGCCCAGGCTGGTCTCAAACTCCTGA